CCAGGGAACTGATCTCTGTGGCCTGGAAATTCACTGTAATTCCAAGAGCTCTCCAGGCCCCACCTGGCCATTGGCAACCCGACATGAAAGGGAGACGGGCGCACGGGCGAAACCGGATTCATTTATTTAAAAGGCTTTGTTATGCAGCCTTCCTGCTACAACGACCCCCAAGGCAGCTCTCAAATGTTAAGATAATACACAACCCTAAACTCTGTGCAAAGGCAAAAAACCCCCCAAGAGCAATTAAAAAAAGAAAACCTTGATAAATAATTCATAAGAAGCCGATTACAGCCAATTAAAATGAAATGCTCTTAAAACCTTGGGCAAACAGGACAGGCGTAGCCTGGCTTCTAAGAGCTAATCCAGAGGGCGCTGGGCATAACCGCATGGAGAAGGAGATGTACTGCTGGGACTTTGGGTTGCCAGCTCCGTGTTTGGAAATACCTGGAAATTTGGGGTGGGGGGGTTGGACCCTGAGGAGGGGGGTTGTGGGGGGGCTTCAGTGTGGTGTAAGGCCACAGAGTCCACCATCAGATTGGATGCTGCTGAGGTCCATTATCCTCCCTTGTGTATATTCAGTGAATTCAGGGCTATTTTTGGGCAGGAACGCACAGGAACGGAGTTCCGGCTGGCTCTCGAGGGGGCCACGCCCAGCAGGAACTCATTAGCATAAAAGATCACACCCAACAGCAGAAACTCGTTAGAATTGGCTACAATTAGGGGTGTGTGGCCTAACATGCAAAGGAGTTCCTGCTACCAAAAAAGCCCTGGGTTTTGACAACAAACAAGGCAAACAGAATAAGAAGCAAAAGGTGGGTGTGTCTGGATGACCACACTTCTGGTAACATGGGGTTGTGGCCTAATATGCTAATGAGCTGTGCTGTCAGGGTGTGGCCTAATATGCGAATGGGTTTTTGCTGTTGGCTGTGGCCTATTATGCTAACAAGTTCCTGCTGGGCTTTTTCTACAAAAAAAGCCCTGTCAGTGATTAATTACTGAACATTGTTTGTAGCCAGTGTTCCCTCTACGCTGAGTTAGTGTGAGCTAGCTCACTTTTTTTTAGCCTCCGGCTCACACTTTTTTTGTCTTAGGAAGGATGGCTCCAGAGCAAACTGATTTAGGCAGGAGTCAAATCGCTCACTCACAACTTTCATGCCAGTAGCTCACAAAGTAGAATTTTCGCTAACAAGACCCCACAGATTAGAGGGAGCATTGTTTATAGCTACACATATTCTGCTCTGAGGGAGCTTATTGAAACAGGTGTTTGGGCAAGCCTGTCTGCGGAATCGTGAATTTTTGTGCTACTTGAATACAAGAATAAGAAAGACACACAGTGGCCAAGTTTCAGACTGGCAGTTTGCCCCGATATAGGCCCGTGTGAGGAATGTTTCACAAGTGGATTAAAGGGGCCGCTCACACAGGCCCATCTGTCCAGCGTTCCCCACCCGCACTCAACCCGTCTTGCAACGCTTCGCTCCCAAGTTTAAAAGATACCTGGTGAAAGTGGTAGCAAACCCTGGAGAGCCCGTTTATCCCGCTTCATTCCGCCTCCCGGAAGTGTGAACACTAACCACAAAAAGCCAGGAACAACTCGCGTTGATAACGTGAACCAGCTGTTCCCGCAGGGATGCGCATAAGGTGCAGTGGATTGCCCTGGAGAGGCAGCAGTGATGTGACTGGGCGCAACGGGATCCTGCCCCAATTGCTGATGCGCCCACGCGGCATGTCGCTGGCGTGAAAAACAGTGGCTTACAGCCGCGCCTCCACCAGGGGTGGCCCAACAGTGTGAACGCTCCCTCGTGCCTCCTCCCGGTATGCTCCCCGGGAAAACCCGGAACAGTTTGTTCCGGCTCTTTTTCCCCATGGCTCCCTCCCGCGTCAAATTGCCAGTCTGAACTCAGCCAGTATGTTTTATTGGCTATTGCACTTTATTTGCATTGGATGACGCTTGAGGTGAAGAGGACCAGGCCGTCTCCTGCAATAGAGAAGAACGTTATGTCCTTGGACTGTTCTTATTCTGAAGGATATGTATGTCCAGGGGTCATTTCGTAGAAAAAGAGGTGCAGGAGTTCATTAGCACAACTTATTAGCATAACTTATTTGCATAGGCCACACCCCCTGACATCACCGGAAGTGTGTCAGAAGGCAACACCCAGTGCTCAGAAGCCACTGGACTGGCTTGGATTGCTAGCTATGGGGGGGACGGGACATGCAGATCTGCCCTTACAGAGGAAGGAGACCTGAATAAACCTTGTACCTGAATAAACCTTGGCCTTAAATTAGACTGTTTTGGATTGCTAGCTGGCGGGGGGGACACAGATCTGCCCTTAAAAGGGGAGGGAGAACTTGTACCTGAAGAAAACTTGGTCTTAAAGCTGCTACTGGACTGTTTTGGATTGCTATCTATGGGGGGAAATGCACAGATCTGTGCAGAAAGGAAGGAAGGAAGGAGGGAAAGAAAGAGAAGGAAAGAAGGAGGGAAAG